TGCAAAGTTTTCTACAGGATTTTCCAAATTCTAACTGTGGCAGTGCTCGGCGTGTCCCTCTGTGAGACATGCCTACTTTACCATCATGATGACTAAGGGAATAAATCTCAAGGGAAGTCCTAGAAAAACTTCCAGGAAGAAAATTTTGGCTTCAGTCTGTGAGCTCTGAAACCTTTTATAATACACTATTGAAATTACTTTTTGAAATGGTTTGTTCCTACTTGAAAATGGTTACTTCCAAAAGAAACTTAAGAGTTAAGTGGTTATAAAATATTTTCACTGATTTCACACATTTTATTAGATGATGAGATCTTATTTTACCTAACTATTGCCTACTGTCAAATATTGAAGCTAAGGAAGTGAAAGTTTAAAATGCAGTAAAGATATGGGAAATTGCTAACATTAAGGCTGGGGGGTCAATGGGAAAGTGTGGGGAACGGATGGGAATTGAATTGGCAAGTATGAAGATTCTGAAGAAGAGTATCCATGCATTCAAAATTGGGGGACATTGGACAAGGTGCCACCCACAGATGAACAGCTACAGGCAATTAAAACTTTCCATTGAGAGAGATAATAATTAGCCTTCTCCAGGCGTGAGTCCCCTAACTGGTTATCTAATCCCAAGTCGTCAGTTCTAAGGAATAGACAACAGGAAACTGTAAATAAACTCATCTGTTCATTTTTATTTGCATATATATATATATATATAATTTAAGAATAAGAGACCATGAATTTGAATGGCATGGTGTAAGATAGGGAGGTGTTGAAGTAGGAAGAGGGATGAAGAAAATTATGTAATTATATTTTTATTAAAAATGTTTTCTGAAAAAAAAGGAAAAGGAAATAAAAGGAGCAAATCTGGTCAGTGAGGCACTGCAATGGGTTGTGGAACTCTAAAAACAAGGAAAAATTAGTTAGACAGAAAGATGAAGAGCAAGCAAATATACTTTATAAAAATGTAAGCATTGAAGAAAATTGTTCCAGAAGATATATTAGGAATTAAGTACAATGGAGAAACCCTAGAGGCAAAATAGAGATGATGTCTCTAGCACAATCATGCAGATGAAGGACCAACCAGGAAGCATGGAATAAAGTGTTGGCTATTAAGGTGAAAATGAAGGCTCAGGAAACATAATAGACACACATATACAAACCTGTCAGGGTGCAATGACAGATGGATTAGCTCCAGTGAGAAACAGAAAGAGCAAGAGAAAATGATTATAAGATACATTCCCTGGGGTACTGAGAGGAAGACAATGTTAGTGCTGAAATTGAGAAAGGTGACTATTAGCAGAGGTTAATCACCCTGCGATCCTATAAGGCTAGATTCCTTTTGTTACAGTATTTAAGAGGAAATAAAATGTGAGCAATTCAAGTTACATAATGCAGAAATAGGTCATCTATATATGTTTTAGATGTTGGGTATGAAAAGCAAGCTTTGATTGCAGCAAAATATAAATTAAGCAATGCTGTACCAACTAACCCATAGAGGTAGAAACTTTTGTTAAAACCATCTATATTCAAACCTTGCAAGTAGGAAAATGAAAATAATTGCTTAAGATGTGTATTACCAGTAGTGAATTTTTTCTTGGCATCTAACGTGTCCATATTAAAAATTAAAATGTTGTTAATTAATTCTCAAACTATATGGTGAAGAGCACCTAAAATAGAATAATATAAACAATATTAACTATGTTTCATATCCTATCCCTTTCAAGAAAAAAATAACAAGTTACTGTCATGCTTACCATCTGGTTTTCAAAACAATAAAACAAACAATAAGAGATAAGCCACTTTACAGTTATTTTCAAACACATTTTGATAAAGACATGATGCATGTTTAAAAGCAACAACTGTATTCATTTCATAAATAATTAAACAGAAAGCATTACTGTCCAGCTTTCATCAGAAGTAATGAAACATGGTAGCTTAGGATGATTAATACACAAGAACAATTATATATCCCCTATTGCCAATGTTTTGTGATGTCTTACTTCACATCAACTTGTTAAATCTTAATGAGTTACTTATCTTTATGTTGAAGTTATCATTTCTCTAAAAAGTCATTGCGTTCCTTACAGTATCTTGAAATAAAAAATCACCCTAATATAGATGTTTGTTTTCTGATGTACACAAATCTGTCTTTTGTAGTTAGCAACCTGTTACTCCGTTAAACAAAGCAGACATACAACTGGACAAGTGCATATAAAGTGCATTGTTTTCTATCACAAAGGCTAATTTATAACAAAAAGTCAATTAGCCACCATTCTCGTATTTACCTGCACTGTACCCAGCATCCTACATGTAGTATGTAATTCTCACAGAGGACCATATGAAATACATTTTAATGACTAACATTCAAATAGCTTCATTGAGTTTGTTAGGCGCAAACCTGTCCTATTGTCACAGTGGGGAACCAGGATTCTCATTTTGCTGTCTCTAGTTTGAAATTCAGCAGATCGGATTTGGTTGTCCTTTACACAGGTCACAAGCACCTCCTTACCTTCATAGGTGAATTCCACAGACTTCATGACTCCCACCCTCCACCTTCTACAGACACCACGAACTAGAAGACCAGGGTTATCTCTAAGACTGGTGTACACAGCTTATAAAATAAAGCTTCTTTAACACCATAAAAATGAATCTTTCTTTCTGTGAGGCATGAGGCAGACAGCAGATGTGCTGTATACAGCAGCATGCTTTTATTACCATCACATAAAAAGGAGGAAATCTTACAGGAAGAGAAAGTGCAGGAATCAGGTATCAGAATAAATGGCCTAGTCTAGAATTGAAATGCAGCTTGTGTTTAAAACTAGGTCTATTCTCAAATGTGAGAGGAGTGAATGTCTTTATTAAAAAGGGAGACATCAGTAGAGAAAGGTTGGAAGAAACTTACTGCAACTTGAATTTTTACAGCCCAGTAGTATCACTTACTGCAGATAATATAAGAGTCCTTCCTGTGACAGCAGTAGCAACCTGTCTCATGGAGACACTCCAGTATCCTGACAGGAAACTTCCGTTCATCAAACTGAGCAATCCTGTACTTCCCATCAGGCCTGGTAACTGTCTAATCACGGTGTAGCATCACTAAGTACACACATTAAGGGCACATACATCAAAGTGGAACTCTGTGCCATGGTAGAAATGTCACTAACGCTTTCAGCACATTATTCTTACACAGAAATGTACTTTTATTTTATTTTCTAAGAAATGTGTATATATTATTTTCATTTACCCTTGTATGAATAGAAATCAACTGCAGCCTGAAAAGTTAGTATTTCATACTTTTTATAACACACAAATTAACTCCAAGTCGTCTTTGTTCACTCCAAAATGTATTTAATTAATACTAAAGATGGTTACAATAAATAATGATAGAGAGACAGCTAGATAAATAAAATATTCCAACTATGGATCATTTGATGATAAATATTACTAATTTTGTGAGCCAATTTTCTGAACTCAGTTTACAAGAAATAGTGAATTGAGAAGACTTAGTGAGATGGTTTTAAAAAATTTTTCTAAGCCTTTCTGTCAGAAGGGGACATGACATTTTGGTAAATTAGAGAGTGGAGGTTGCTGGTTCCCTTCAGAAGATGTAAAACGCTTCACTTGGTACTAATGTACATAAAGCAATTAGTTACTTGTCATGATGGGTGTTCCCCAAGGCAGTGCACTTTCTCCATTAGTATTTATATCTACATGCCATTACACACTGGGCAGCACTAACCAGATGAGGGACACTTAGAGAATTACTCAAGTCATGTGCTATCAAGAAGAAAGACATTATAGCCCATATTATTAGCATACAGGTGGTGCTGTTCCACTTAGTTTCCAGTGAGATCTTTCTTAAATGCTTGCAGAAAAAGCAACATTAGAGAAGGGATTAATTAACCCATATGGGGAAGGTTTTTTAAAAAAATTTTATTATTTACTGGAAAACATTTCTTGTGTCACCCTTATGGCAGTTTTTTTCAGAGGTTACCTCCTCCCTCTGCCTTGATTACCATGCCCTCTTCAGATAAGGTATTTAAAGGCTCTTCTATTAGGAAATCATTAAAATTTACCAGAAGAAACTCAATTGAACGGTATTAAATATGAAGGCCATAATATCTAGCCATAGCATGTATAGATCTGAAATTAGAGTAAGATTGCAATATTTTATATCACTAGTACATTGTTACTGACATACCTGTCTATCACTCCAATCGAATCTATTGGATGTGTTTGTTTTAACGACATTGTTTTGAATTCTCTTTTAAAATAGTTGTTCCATTTTAAAAAGCCATTAAATTCTGAACCGCAGGCTTTCTCCTAAAATTGTTAAAGATTATCTTTCTCATTGACTACAGTTTCAGAAAATAACTACAATTAAAAAATAATAGCAAATAAAGAAATCTCTAGGTTGTTAAATATTACCACTGGCATGTCCTCTGGGTCTTAATGTCAGATGTCTTGTGGTTTGAATTTGTCACATGGTAACATTTCATTGTCTCTCATATTTAAGATTGCTCGAATAACATGTATAAATAAAACAAAACTCTAAGTTGATGGAGAATGTCCATCTGTATGCTGTTAATATGTGTTTCTCTTATTGGTTGATGAAAAAAAATACTGATTGACTAGTAGCCAGTTAGGAAGTATAAGTGGGGCTACCAGACAAGGATAATTCTTGGGAGAGGAGGCAGAGAGGAGTTGTCAGAAACATGCCATGTAGATACAGAAGCAGTAATACATTGAAGCACTCTCCAAGAAGATAAGACCACGTGGAAATATTTACATTAATAAAAATGTATTAAAATTAAGAGAGAGTTATCCAATAATAAGCATGAGCAATCAGGCAAACAGTTTATAATTAATATAAATGTCAGTGTGTTTAATTGGGACTAAATGGCTGCAGGACCAGGTGGAACAGGAAACTTGGTCCACACTAAGTATTAGAAAATCATAAAAAAATTTTATACTTGTTTTTAAAAATTGTCTATTTTTTTCTGATACAGGTTCTCACTAGGCAGCCCTAACTGACTTGGAAAATCTTATGTAAATCAAACTAGCCTCAACCATATTGATCTATCTTTTCATCCACCCAAGTATTGGGATTAAAGACTTGTACAACCATGCCTGCTCTAAATATTCATACTTATCATTTATTTTTAAATTGTGGTTATTTTCCAAATAAATTTTGTATACTTTATTATGTAATTCCCTTCTTAAACATATTAAATTTATTTATAGCAATAAATTCTTTAATTGCAAAGTGAAATATTTTAGGGATATTGATCAATGAGTTTTAATTAAACTCATTGTTTCATTGCATATCTAGAAATTTCAAACATCATTTATATATAAAGAAAGTCACATACATAGCAATTAATTAGAACTTCTAAACATGTAGAAATTTAGAATCTAAACACAAGAAATTCACTGCTGGACTATCATAGATATTAAGTTTCTATGTCTCTAACTGATATGACAGGAAATAAAATTCCCCTTTTCATATTAAATTTTATAACCTATTGTATCAAAAGAAAGAGAATCATGGAAATTCAACAATCAAATATAAATATATAAATCCCAATATATGAAGACAAGGATATTGTTATAGGGGCACTGGTGTGTCTAGTATACAATGGTTCTTGAGTGCTTTTATACACATAAAGCTGGGACATTGAGTTTGTAGGGTGTACTCTCAGTGAGTGCACTGTCCTTGAAGTACCTCTCCTTCTGTACATACTGAACAAAGAGAAGTTAGCCTTGAGGTCTTGCTCAAACAAAACAAAATCTACAGATAATGAAAAAGGCCAATGGTCTGGAAATATTTCTTGATCAGCATCCCAGAAGCAAATAAGGGAGGACAATTCTGTTCTGATGTTTAAAATACTGAACATGATAGGCAACTCAAATCTATCTAAGACTTGGGAGCCTTTGCTCTAATTATCAAATTCTATGCACTCCCATCCCAATGTTTTTTTTCTCTAAATAACTGTAGAAAAACTCTTCCAACCCTGTGCCTGAAAAGTCAAGAAAATCTTACAACTTAATGAAGAGTACCTGAGTATATAGGAGAGTGAGTCACAGAGATAAATACATTTTTTACTTTTTAAGTAATTAAATCATATTTCATAAATGTTTGAAGTGAAGTGAATTACTATTTTAAGCTCAAACATAAACATATAAATTCATATTCCTAGAAGTTAAAGTGACTACTAATTTATTTTATAGATTAAAAAATCTAATCTCCATAAATTTTGACCATTTATTTCTTCATGATAACACACTGAAATAACATTATTGTTCTAAATACTTCACCTTAACATTGTTTTATAAAGCTTTGGTATAGATGTGTTTCTAAAAACCAACTGACTTGAATTTTGAATCATCTGCTTTTCTTTAAAAAATGATTTTGAAATTAAAACAATATTTCCTTTAACATATTTATTAAGTAACTACTTTGTGCTATATAAGATACTGTTACATGCAGGACTACCGTTTGTAAAACCTAATGCAACAAGAGAGTTCAGGGATTAGCCATGGTCAGGCCATTTTGTATGCATCCTCATTTTGCTTAAAGAATTGCAACTTCTTGAACTACAGTGCTGCATTCCAGGGCTAACAGAACTGGTTTTCTAGAATCTTACTTTTTCCTCCAGTATGACTGAGCATGGAGAAAGTTTATCAGTCTGATGATCTTTAATCTACCACACAGACTATATCTCTTGCTACTATTAGCAAAAGCCAAACGGGGATAAATAATGATTTTTTGCTTCATCTCCCTAGTCCTTTTCCTTGTTTTTATTTATGTGTTGAGTCATTTTTCTTTTTATTAAATTTTGGTACTTTTTAGCATTTCATATAAATACATTAGGTATTCTACTGTCACTCTCCCCAGCCCCATCCCATCACTATTATCACCCCCCTCCTCCCTCGAAGTCTGCTTTTCAGACAGAGTTTAACAAGTGTCATCTATGTGATCTGTGAGCTTGGAACTAGCCAGGACATCCTGGTAGGCTCACCAGTGACAAGGCAATGCAACTGAAAACCATGTTTTCCATTCTTCTACGACATCTCAGGTGTCAATAAATCAGAAGTAAGTGGCAGAGCCTGATGAGATGCTACCTCCCTGTAGCTGACTGTTAGGAAGGTTTGACTTCTGTGAATGATTTCAGTATTCACAGCTGCTGAGATCTCATGGTTATCATGTTTCTGATCTTCTTTCTGAAAAGATGGAATTCACAGCTCATCTCCCATCTTCTAGTCCTTATATTCATTCATTTTCCCCCATTATCAGCCATGTTCCCTAAGTGTTTCTGTCCCTTATCCTCAGCATCTTGTGCAGTCATACATCTCTAGTGTTGCAGGATGGTGCTGCAGAGGATCAAACCCATCTGTCAATTTTATAAGCTACAATTCCAACCTACTAGGCCACATGGGCCCTTTGGTGTAAAAGTAATGCACCTGTTATTAAGGTAGCATATATTCACTAATTGGAACAAATTTGTTGCAAATAATGTAAACCTGGTTCACATCCAATGACAAAGAGGCCTAAGACACTGGTAACCAACCTTAAAAGGCCTTAGGTGAACACGCCCTCAAACTACCTCCAAAATATCTATGTTTTTCCCACAGATGGAGTCTACTTGCAATCTTAACCAAAGGAGTTTCTCTTTTTATTGTGAATGGAGGTATATGTAAAACTCTGATGCATTGTCTTTTCTGCCCCATAACTAACCTAGCCTGTGAGCAGTTAAGAGGCTCTGCTTGCTCATACTAGAGACCCATTTATTTTTTTTCTGAATAAAGTCTGAAATGTCATGGAGTCGCTCATCCCTTTGTAAGTCCTTCTCACACACTTTAACTATGTTCAAATTTTTGTAATTCTAGGATGGAGTTAGCAAACCATTAAGCCATACCTAGTCCATGCTAAGAGTGGAGACATATGGCTAAAGAAACCACATGCCACTAAGCACTTCTAACTACTGAAAGCAACAACAACAGAAGCAAAACAAAACTGGAGGGTCATTATATCATAAATTCAGATCAAACCAAGGAAGGGTATAAAGATGTTCATTCTAATCACCTGGAAGCTACTGGAATAATTGTTTTTTCCCCCTTGGGAAGTCATGAAAGACTTCTGAAAGATTAGCACTGGAAAGACATGCTGAGTTTATCTTGGTGAAAACGGGGAAATGAAACTACTTTAGAGAATGACATGTGACTGAACACTGGAGAATGGAGAAGAGATCCTACTCTGGATATAGTGTATAGATTGAGTTAATATAAAATAGACAAAAGAGATAAATTTAAAATTATAGGTTGGGAACACAGCAAAGAATGACATGAATGCTAGTATAGTGAGTTTCAATTTCAGCTTATAAGCAAATGAAAGCCTTTGAGTAATATGACCACAGGCAGACTTCAGAGTGAAATGAGAGTAAAGATGAGAAGAGATACTCAAGCCCAATGCCCAGGAAGAGAGTTGTACTGATTATCAGGAGCTGGGTAGGAGATGTAACAACAAGGTCTGCATAGGAACGACATAGCAAATGAAGTACTGGCAGACATGAGAGCAGGAGAGGATTAATTGATGATAGCAACTCTCAGGAAATCCAGCCAAAAAGCACAAAACACAAGTGCTCTGGAAATTCCCAAATCTTTGATGAAGAAATGAATGATGAATCTATTCAAAAACTTATATAAGTAATCATACAATGTAATGGAAAGAAATTAGTTGGTCATAAATTCAAAGGAGACTATTTCAAAACTGATACCCATTGTAAAAACTGAGAAAGCACAGAGGCTTGAATATTTGGGTGGACAGAGTTAGGAGAATGTATTTTCTGCTGTTACATTCTCTCTTAGGACACTCAAGGGTCAGACTTTTACTCAGGTTTAGGGACATCACTGTCTATGTAAGTGTCACATAAAAGCAACAGTACTTTACATATTTCTATTCTGGTTTCAAGCCAATAATAATATATAAATCACCCACCAATTATTAGGCACAATGAAAAATATCAGGAAAAAGAACAGGATAGTTGATTAAGCTTGCATATAGACAGTGGGGATAATATATGGTGCCAATACTTATAGGAATGAGGGGGTCTTTCTGAGTATATCTGAGCTTCTGTGAAACTGAGGGTAAACTTTTCAGGGGTAACTTTGTTTTCAAGAAGGGGAAGCTAACTGTCCCTACACACTAAAATTTCATAGAACTAGCAACATACCATTTGTAACACCTTCTTCAAAGGCAAATGTAACTAAGCCAAATTCTTAAGTAATAGTTAGACATTTATCATTCCTGTGCTTCTAAATGGTTTTCAAATAAAAGTGACCCAAAACTATGTTTCAAAATTATGAATATAGTAAAGGTTTAATGGCATGGTACCCATAGCTATACTTGTTTCTTTCTTTCTAGAGACTGAAATGTTTTGCAACTTGAAGTATTTGTTATATTCTTTGGCATTGCATAATTGAGACATATGTATTTTAGGACAAATATCGAGAGAAGTAAAATTCAATAGCAATGTCTATACTGCTTAAACAATGGAAGCATCAGGTAAGTAATGACATTTGGACAGCAAGTCAATACGACTATGAAAGGTCTCCAATAATGAGCAAATTCAGACCAATACACAGTTTGTGGATCTGGCCTTCTTATTGACAAAGGTTGCTTTCAATCACACCGGATCTATTACCATATCAGTCATCACTTTAAATGAGTACAATGTTATCATTGACAAAGACATCACTTAAGCAGAGAAAGTAAAGATTCTAAATAACATAATAATGAAAGGTATGTTGCTCATTGAAGGAAAATGAAAAATAAATGTTAGAGACATATCTAACAAGGGGGACTGAGGGAAAAGGAAAATGCTTCCTGTCTCACAAGGATGATGATGGACAATTAATAACATGTTGTTAATTATTGACCTTAACACAACTGCGTATTTTCCTTGCTACATGAATTAAGATATGGAAGTGTACTGATAAAAATGACTTACATTCAGGATTAAAATATTGGCAGCTTTATGGAGTGAAATGTCACTGTTTTCTGGGAACTTCAAGTTTACATTTCCCTCTTTGAATCAGTCAGCCTTCCTGAACTGCAGAGAGCTTAATCAATGTTTGGGATAGCAATAGCATAACATTGAACATTTC